AAACATTTCCACCTTTCCAATTTAAACCTTTCCAGCCCCCCCCCCCCTTCCCCACAACATTTCAAACTCTCCATTTTCTCAGTTATCTCACGTGTTATTATGACAGAATGCGTGATGTTACGAGGTAAATTAGGAAAATAGTTTTTTTTTTCACAATAGTTACTAAGTTCATCATGCAAAATTATGACAACGCAAAATCAAGCTATTTTTCCTCCCCCGCCTCACATAAGCATCACTATTTTTTTGGTGTAACGAGGGGTTCTACTAGGTTAAACATGAAGGCCAAATATGTTTATCATGGCCTAATCACTTCGCATGCCAATTTTCGTAACATTCGGATGATGTGAACAAAATTTCACGGCTCTTTTCCACTTTCCCCCCACCTTTCAAAATATCGATTTTTATGTTTGTTTTATGTGTTATTACGGCTAAATGCGTGATGTTACGCTGTAATGTATGAAGAACAAATCTGTTCATAATTGTCAATTTGTTCACCATGCCACTTTTCATTGCATTAAGACATCATTAAATACGGTTTTCAAAAATTAATTTGAAGGGGGGAACTGGAAAAGAGCCAATTTCACTAGTGAACAAAAACTGAAATTCATATTTGGAAAGGAGGGGGCGGGGGGGAGTGGGAAAGAGCTTGGAAAAGGAGAAAGATCCCTTGACAAACATAATTGGTCTTGGTCTTCATACTTGATCTTGTAAGAACCCTCGTTACACCATAAATTTGATGCTATATAGAAGGTGTGGGGGGGGGGGGGGGCAGCGTTGAAATAGTTTTCAAAATTGGAAACCAAATTTAGTGGAAGACAGTGGAAAAGAGACGGAGAATTACCAAATATTTGATTCAAATTTTCATGCTTTTATGATAACTCAGGTGCTTTTGTTGATAATAATCAGGTGTTTTTTGTTGATATACAAAAAATGACTAAGTTCTATATTCGCACGTGCGTTATAAAGCATATGGCTAAAATTTTGTTACAGATTACATTAGCAAACAGATCGTTCAACAGTGAATTACACATTTTTGGCTTTTATTGTTATTTTCATTGAAGCTAAACCAAAATGGTGATTGTTAAAGAGTTATCAGAAGAAGAATATAACTTAATTCAAGCTCAAAATCGTGAAAAGGCTCAGCTCGAAAGTGGAATTGAGGAAAAACTTACACCCGAAAAAAACTCGCTCAAATCCGAGACGGAAGCAGAAAAAATATCAGATTTGAGTTCGAATCCTAAACCGCAGAATCAAGATAAAATAATTAAAGAAAAAGAACAAAACGCGCCAGAGGAACAACCAGGAAAAACTAGTCCAGAAGATCAGAAAATTCCAGCTGAAAATGAAAGCCTAAACTCTGAAACTGAAGGAAAAGCTGAAGAAATCAACAAACCAAATCAAACTGAAGATGAAAACGAGGAAAATAAAAACGAAGAAACCGCCGTAATTGATGAGAATGAATCCAAAAACTTGACTGAAAACATTGAAGATGGCTCTAAGACCAATGATCCCGAAGCGAAATCTGAAACTTCCGAAAATTCCAAGGCCTCTCAAAGCCAGGAAGCACCAGCCAGAAGGTTAGAAAATATGTACTCTGGACCAAAAATGACCGTAAAATCTATCCAGAAGTTATGCAAAGAGCACAAATTGTACAACACACCGGAGCTAAACGATGTCTTGTACTTACATTTTAAAGGGTTCCAGAAAATCGAAAATTTGGAACGTTACACCGGACTAAGATGTCTCTGGCTTGAGTCCAATGGTTTCGATAAAATCGAAGGACTCGATAATCAAATTGAGCTTCGAGCTTTGTATTTGCAACAGAACTTGATTCACAGTATCGAAAATATCAACCATTTAAAAAATCTAGTTCACCTTAATTTGTCCAACAACATGATAGGCGAATTGAAAAACTTGAGCGAATGTCCAAACTTGAACAACTTGCAAGTTTCGCACAATTTGCTCAAAACCAAAGAAGACATTCTGCATTTAATCGACTGTCTGAAAATAAGTGTTCTCGACTTATCGCACAATCGACTTGAAGACGAGGCGATTCTCGAAGTGTATTCACAAATGGCTGAGCTTAGTGTGTTGAATCAAATGGGAAACCCTTTATTGAGACGAATCTCAAACTACCGAAAAAATTATACAGTTCAAGTTAAAAACTTGAGATATTTGGACGATCGGCCGGTTTTCCCGAAGGACCGAGCGTGCGCCGAAGCGTGGGCGAGAGGCGGTCGGGAAGAGGAAAAAGCCGAACGCGAGAGATGGGCGGCGGCGGACAGAAAGAAAATCGATGATTCGCTCGAATCACTTCGGAAAATAAAAGTTCAATCTGAACAGAGAAGAAAATTCTACGAGGAAAAACGAAAACAAGCCGAGGCAAGTTCGGGTGTTGAAAATGGAAGCGGCGACAATCCGAAGGAACTAACGACTCGTGATCAATATTCTGACGATCAAGACGACGAAGATTTTGATTCGGATACAAACGAAAACGACGACGAAGAAAAGGACGAAAAACAAAATGACGTAATAAATCTAGACGACATTCCTGACCTTGAGGAAATCGAGGCACAAAGTGAACTTAATTGTGACGTAACTTCCGATAAGAAACTGCTCGTTGAGGAAATTCAGGCAATCAGCGAAGAGAACGAGCCAGGTAAAAACGAAAGTATTTTTGGAGCCAAAAATGAAACCTCGTCAGCGAGTAGTTCAGGTTTTGTCATCGAAGAAATTTCCAGCCAGCAGAAAACCCAGAACTCGATGAGCTTCGAAAACACTGCCAGTGGCAAAGCCGAAAAACCAGCTGAAAAACCCGGCAAAATCTTGATCGAAGAAATGAGCTCAGGTACTTTGAGTTCAAGATCTGCAAACTTCGAAGAAACTATCAGCTTGACGGAAAGAGGCGATGATCAATTGATTTCCGGTCGAGCAGAGCCTTCAAACCCTACCGAAGCGTGGGGAACCTCGGAGAAAAAATCTCGAGCAGCTCCGACAAAAGTTACACTGATTGAAGAACTTGATTGATTTAAAACTGTATATTAATAACCTCATCAACCCATAATGTATACTTTCATATCTCAAAGTTTAAATTGCAGCAGGCAGGTCGTTTTGAACCCCACAACCCAAATTTTTGTTCCGACCATTGAAAATGGGGAGGAACTTCGTTTTCGGGTGTGTTTTAGTTTTCTTTTCCACGCAAAATCAGGAACCGCAAATAAACATCGGACTGGAATAATTTATAAAAGATATAAAAGCTTTTTCATTCTTGATTCAAATGAGATTAAAAAATTTCCAAAAATCCAGGTGTAAAAAAACGGTTTTTCGTTTAATTTTGAACGAATAAAAGAAATATAACTTAATAAAGTGGTCATTTAGACTTTAAAAAATTAATTTTCAGAACGGTAATTAGTTGTGAAAGCTATATTTGGCACTACTTAGGCAGTAAAAAGATTTAAAAAAAAAATTTTTAACAGTGAAAATAGAGCAAATTTCGATACTTAATTTTTTTGCAGCCAATTGTTGTCAATTATGCCTGAATTACTATTTTTACTCGTGTGTATAGCATCCAAGATTACAAAAAAAAACTACTTTTATTTGATAAACTTAATAAATTGAATTTTTTTTGTAAATTTTCTGAAAATAGTGATTTTTAGTCTAATAAATCGAGCGAGCAGATCCTCTCATTATACTACGTTTTAAATATCTTTTTTTTTGCTGTGGTCAGAATTTGTTGTGCTTCCTGACGAGCAAATGGCTGTCCTTGTACCTTATAACTTTCGTTTCATAATGTCAACTACTAAAAGAAATCAGCAAGCTGACTAGTAAAGTAGTTTCAAAGTTTCTTGGCTTCATACTTAGCCTGAAAGTTTTTTCCTTGTAACATAAAATGAAAGCTTAACTGATGTGAAGAGGGAGCGAAAGTAGCCAAGAAATTCTGGTTATTCCTCAATAGTTCCAATAATTTTATATAAGAGCCGCTACACATTATAGTCATTTTTTGCAACAAAATTTTTGTTGAAGGATTGCTTCGAAATATCTGAACATCAGAAAAAGGACTTTACTCGATTAAAATTGCTTTGGAGGTAAATTAAATGGCTTAAACTTAAACAATATATTTGTAGTTTCTTCATTTTTCGAGAAAAGTGAAAGCCTTAAGTCGTGTTGGCTAAAAATAATTTGATTAGGATATATAAAAGCTGTTTATGTTTTAATTCAAATCAAGTTGGTTAAAAAGACGACGACCATATTAGTTGCACAATACGACAAAAAATGCAAGTTTGTTCTAGACATTGAAACCAATTGGCCATTCTAGGAGACAAAAACACAACGAAGTATTGAACAAATTTAAGAAATTGAGTTCAAAACAATATGGGATAATCAACGAGCGAGCGATAAATCGGTATGTTCCCGGGTTGACCATCCTTCAAAAAATCCCCTTTTTTAGAACTTCTTATAACATGCGCAAGAAATTTTCGCTATCTTACATTTTTCTTGACATTCTAACTTTTTTCCAAAATTCAAAAGAACTTGCCTAAAATATTTTTGAATGTGTTTGTGCACCGTAAAAACAGATAAAAATCAATTTTGGAAAAAAAATCTCTTTTTTCCATATTTATGCATGTAAAAAGTTTCAGATAGTGCTTATATGGTATGCATTTTGAACAAAATATTCTGAGGCAAATAAAGTTTTTTTTGAACAAATCTAATTACAAGTAATTAGCGAATCCGAAGTTTGTTTGGAGACAATGAAAAAATCAGTTTTCACGATCCATCTCAAAAGATCAAAAAATCAGCAAATAACTAATTCTGCAAATTTAGTGGGTTTTTTGGTAACTCATGTAACTCATGTAACATATGACTTTCCGTTATTGTACTCGGCGACAGCGGGGGAATTTGAAACTGGCTGTAAAAACTTTTAAATAAACATTACGAGACCAAATTGTGCATTAAATAGGCGCAGCACAATTTTGTGTTCGTATGTTGGATTCCAGAGACAAGTCTTTAAACATGTTAAAATTTTCTTGGAACGATCAAAGAAACTGAATGAACAAAAGAAGAGAAAAGGGAGCGTCTTTGTTGCGGAATCCACCTACAATTCACAAAACACCCCTTTGGCCTCGTAATGAAAAAAAAATTTGGAAGATTCTTATAAGAAAAGTTCTAAGATAGCGACTTATGACCACCCCGGGTTGTGTTCCTAAAACACACATGAACGATAGATTAAATTGTTCCCATTGAAATGAGGCAAAAGTTTGGTCTGCGTATTAGGATCTGAGACGCCTACCCGCACCGAGCGCCCATGAACTCTAATCGATTATAATGGAATCCCGAGACAAAAATAATCCATTATAGTCCATTACAGATGTAAAATTCAGACCACGAAATTGATTATATTGCCATTATAATCGATTATTTTTGAAAGAAACTTTTCCATTATAATCCAATTTAATAGTTTATAATCCATTATTTTTGGCAAGGAAATCAATTGTTTTGTCAAGATAATCCATAATAATTGATTAATTTTGAAATAAAAATCCATTATAATCCATTATAATCGATTGTTATCCATTTAATTTTTAGAACTAAATTAGGTGTTTTTGCAGAAATTTTGCATGAAATTGGCAAAATGTATGCCATGTTTTTTACTAAATGCCATGTCTCAACGTCACCCCCTCAAATATTTTTAACCTCCTCCCCAACTGAAGAAGAGAGGGAGCGTAAGCTGGCGGGGGGGGAACTGGTAGGTGTCAATTATCAACCCTGCTCCCCCAAAGTCTACGAATGCGTAATCCCCACATGCTCAACCAATAGGGGGCGAATGGCGGTTTTGGTTAACTGGCAGGGAGGACGGGGGGGGGATAAACAGAGGGGGTGAAAGGGGGGGAGTAAGGGGGTAAACTGAAATGAATTGAAAAAGTAGAGACAGAAAAAAAAATTAAAATTTTAATGTGAAATGTAACATTTTATGAAACGTAATGCGTAGCAACTGCACTAAACAGGAAATGAGATAACTTTGAAAATTTTATGATTATCCTCTAGAAAAAATCTATTATGATTGATTATAATCGATTATAACGGATTATATTGACATAATGATTTTAGGATTATAATCTATTTTTAAAGGAATATAATTGGTTATTTTGTAATTTTATTGATACTGACCATATTATGACAGTATAACCAATTATGATCCATGGGCGCTAGGAGAGGGTAAGTAATCTTTTCGTGCTTTGCAAACTGTGCAACATGCAATGTTTCTTCAGTTTTGCTCAGTTTTAGCAATGCTAGGCATGAGCAGCACTGTATAAAAGTATTTTTGAACATGTTTTTCCTAACAAGAAAAAATTTTTACCGACAGAAAGATAAGATAAATGATTAAAGATTCTACTCTAGCATTTACTCATGGAAAAAAATTCAAAAGAAAGACTGCTCGTATTAGATCAAAGCCCTGAATACATTCTTGGATAGATTTTTTATTTAGAAGTTATAACAGGCTGATATCCAGAGTGTTGAGTTAATATAAATGACCAAAAATTGAGTTAAACGGCAATTAAGCCGTCAGCTCAAAGTCTCGCTGCAGATTTCAAGGCACTTGCTCATGAGTCTCTAATAAAAATAATTGCTTTTCATCGCTAGTTTTTGCAAACTTTTAACGCCAAATCAAACCCCCATTAGAAATAACGTCATTTTGCAACGAGTTTATTACAATTTCTCTTAAATCTCATCGGTAAACTGATAAACAAACTATGAGTCAAGAAAAGGTTCGTCATTCTATATCTTAATCAATTATTCGTCATTCTGTAAAACCAGCAACTTAATAACTTTGGTAGCTTTTATATTTTGGAACCTGATCTAAACTACATTTTGTTATTGGATAAATTAGATATTTTACCACTGTAAAATATTTAATATTAACCAATCATAATCCATCCATCTAACAACCCACTTAATTGTAAGTGCTGAAATTACTTGTAATTTCAGCACCAGAGAGATTTGAATTTAACTTAGAAATTAGTTGCCTCTCCAAGAGAACTTCAGCTGCCGCAATAAGCCAGTATACTCTAGATCTATTGAGCCTAGCAGAAACTAGTTAAACACCCTGAGACTAGTAGATATAAGAGTAAGCTTAGGATCGGTATTAGACTAAGAAATTGCACGAATCTATCCGGCCGAAAATAAAATAGCGTGACGAGCAGACGGTGTACCCTATCCGAAATTACTCTATGAGTTAACCACATCGGACCTAACTCATCTGGTGCGACCATAAATCTCGAACAAGACCTGAATAGCTTAGAATTAACCAAATATAGATTAGAAATTAGACAAAACATTTTCAAAATGTTACACGATAATAACTTAATTGAAATGTCTCTACGACTCAATAGATCAGAGCCGATATTCCGCACAATACTAGAACTACCCGGTATTGGAAGAAGACCTCGGACAAGAGACGATATACGACTACGTAGAAACTTACCATTTAGTTTTATGGTTGTACGGCAAAAGCCAACACAAACTTTTATATTTAGAATCTTATTAGCAATGAATTTAGATTTTCATTTGCAAACATAAAATTTTGAAGGAAATCTTCATGATGATTTCAGGCGCTAAACAAAATTATTAATGTACAATAACGATTGATAAAAATATCTCAGATCGTTTTCTCAACTTCTGCAGTGTTATATAAACATATTTATTTGAAAAATATTTATTAAAAAATAAAAATTAAAATTAGTAGCATGACAATAAATTGTTAGTATATATAAATCATCCTGTTCTTCCAGCTTCATCACCTAAACATAACAGCAATCATAAGCTAACTAACATCATAAAAAACTAAAACCTTATATCAAATAAAATTAACCCATTTTAAATTTAAATTACTTAATTTTAAACCAGATTATCAAGGCTTCTCCTTGGATCTTAATAATTTTTCTAAATCAATAATTTTTAATTCTGATCATCAAGGCTTATCCTTGGATCAAAAAGAACACTTTTGTTCTCCCCCATCCACTTATTAAGTGTCTAACGACCTCAAACGTCGATTCACTACCCAACCTTTTCAAAAGACCCAGGACTAATGCAAATTTTCAATAACACTA